GCACATGAGGCTAAGGTCACAACAGGTGTTGAGACAGGACATGTAATGTAATCTTAATAAATGAATTAAATAACTGGAATTTTTTGAGACAAAGGACCCAAAACACCCTGAGGAAGCCAAAGAGTACTGGGGACTCAAAGAATTTTTGTAGAACAGTAGTCGATAAGGCCACCTTATACAAAGTCATTGTGAAAGATGCAAAATCCTAACCAAAAAGCCAGGTCCTAAAACAAGTTATGGTTGTCACTTCTGATCAAAATGGGATCATACTCCTTTCAATACACCATTGCCAATATGTGTGCCATTTTTATTGATAAATGACCATCGCACGACTAAACAAATACTGAGACAAATATGTGGCAATCTTAGGAATTAAACCTCCATGCCTGAAGCTTGAGCCTCTGGATAGCTGGGTACATCATGTTTAGATCATGGCTGCCTCCACAGAGATGGCCAAAGAGGAAGTGGAAGAGGTGAGCACCCCTGAAGGTATCACAGAGGAAGAAACTAGGATGTAGCATCCAAACCAGTGCTATCAACAGGACCTGACAATGGGTTGGAACAAATCATATTTAATACCTTGGGTAACACACGAATTGGAGAGAAGGCCTATAGTTGTAATCCCATCATGTCCTGAAGGTATGCACGAGGGCGAGGAGCTGGAGACCAAATTGCCAGTAGCTGGATGTTCCACAAAGTGACCAACCCACTAATCATCAGTGTTTCAAAATGATCCAATAGAAAACCTCGTGATGTAGCATCTATTCTGTTGGGAGAATCTGTTTGGGTTGAGACAGTTGATCTGCTAACACAGTCATCACGTATGGAATATAGGAAGCTAGTAAGGTAGCAATATACATATAGGAGCCGACTACAACGAACTTGGACATCCACAATCCTAGTAAAAAATGTCAATTCGGATTGAGGAATGAGCCACTTGTGAACTTTGGAGAATCTAGGAATTGAAATATACAAGAAAAATCGATGACTGGACATCAATCTCCTGTTTTCTTCTGCCCAACAAACCGACAGGAATAAAACCCCATAAGAACTGGCATGATTCTCTCTTCTTACCCCCAGAGAAAAACCAAACTTTAATAGCCCTAGCACTAAGTTCCGAAATCCAAGGATCTGCAGGAGATAGAAACCCCAGAGATTGGGTGGATAATGGTGATGAAGATGTAAACTGAATGACTAATCCTGACTGAAAGACCTACAGTGCCCATGGATCCGTGGTTTAGGTTTACCACAAGTCCAGAAATTGTCAGAAACGAGCAACCAAATATTCTAAAGGCATACAATAATCACCAATTACGCTGGCGGTGTTCTAAGCAAGCAGTTGAACCCTTGGATGTGGACAATGTCTGTGCAGCCGAGGTCATGATCTCCTTTGGAAAAGACGTCTGCATAATTCGCCAAAGGTTCCCTAACCTGAAGAGCCTGTGATGATGATAAATGGACTATGCTCTTCTTATAGAGGTCAGTTTTTGGCCTTGAATCCTGATGACTATACAAACCTTGGTACCTCTGTGCTGGACTTAATGTGGGATTCGAATTCAAGAGCTCTGGCCATTGCATTCTGCATAGTAGAGGGGTGTGTTTGCTTCACTTGTATCTTCAGTTGTGGACTGTCCAAGGTATCTCCAAACTGATCCCTCAGCAACAGCTTGAGTACATCGGGTGGAGCAGTTGGGTAGACCTTGTGTGCCATACTTTCCGAGTCCTGTGCCAGGTCTTGCAGGCTCTTTCCTTTAGCACGGACTCTCGTCCTAAACCTAGCCCTGCAGACTTCGGATTGATTTTGAGTTCCATACCTGAGTTCTAGAGCAGCTTCCAGTGCTCTATAGTTGTGCCTGTCATCTGCTGACAACTGTCCAAGTATTTCCAGTGGTTGTCCCTTCAGGCTCGTTGCCAAGTACATTGCTTTCTGCTTCTCTGTTCATCCATTCATTTGTGACAGGAGCTCAAATCGTGTTCTATATGCTTCCCATATTGCCTTCCCATCGAATTACTGTGGCTTTCTTCATACTAGATCACTCCTATTGCTGACACTCGTGTCTGGAATGTGACTTCTGGCAGGACTGAAGATGTCTGCATTAGGGTTTAGCTGCGGAGTCTGGAAGAGGCTTCCTGTTGTCTGGGGCTGATAAGGTCCGTGGTTAATATATCCTCCCTGTGTAAAGGACAATAAATCGCCCTTTAATGCATTTAATTCACTTTGAAATTTACTAATCTTTTCCATTTGTATATGCTGGCTTTCTCTCAACTATTGGAGACTTTCTTCTTGTTTCTTTTCTTTCTCTTCCAGCCACTGCTGTAGTCTCTCTTCTTGTTTCTTTTATTTTTCCTCCAACAATCGCTGTAATCTCTCTTGTTTGTTTTGCTGTTCGAGCTGCCACTAGTGCAGGTTTTCTTGCCACTGCTATAATCTCTCTTCTTGTTTCTTTTCTCGTTCTTTTTGTTTCACTTCTTGTTTCTTTTATCGTTCTTCTTGTTTCTTTTGCTATTTTTGTATTGCTGCCATCAGACCTAAATTTGTTTGGACAAAAATGGTAATGTAAGGAAATCAGAAACTAATAAAATTAAAATGGAATAGTAATTTTGAAAATATATAATTTAATTCGTTGTAGTCTATGGATGTTAATCTGAGAAATAGTAAATATACTGATAAAAATTGTGAAAAAGAAAGAAAGTATAGGTGATGTTATGTGCAATTTAGAACATATTGAAGTTGATATTTTGAATTTATTACATATTAATAATATTTGCAATAAGTGGGACTATTTTGTACAGTTGCTGGGGAAGTTTTGATATTGTCAGATATAAAAATAATCACAGAGACATTTCTAAAAGAACATGAAATCCAAAAACATACTTTGGAAGATTATGAAATAATATATAAATGTAGGTATAATAATTAAGGAGGAGGAGGAATTTTAATTTTTCATAAAATGGAAACGAGAAGTGGCAAATCAAACTACGACTTAGCATATATTTTTTCTTTTAGTAATGTTCTTGCTTTTTTATAAGCAACTCTTAGATTTTCATTTATATTTATTCTCCCATATTTTGTTGGATTCGACTTTGTTTAACCAATTTCTTATTATTTTTCAACCATTTTTCTTTATCCAAAACACTTTTGAATTTAATTATTATAGGTGCTATTTTTTACTATTATGGACAGGTATTTTATAACCTGGTATATTAAACTCTTGAGCTAGTCTGTGTAGAATATCTTTCAATTCCTCGTTATCTTATTGTATTACTTCACGTATCTCTATATTGCTTCTTCGTTCATACTGTTCAATATCATTAACTTGAATAAATATTTTTGAGTATTATTAGCTTTCGAACTTTCCACATACTTTTTTTAATATCTTTATTTTCTGCATGTTTGCTTCGTGTTAATGATATTTCATCATACTAAGCTAACTAAAAGCTTATGCAATCTCTGGTTTCATTTATATCCATTTTTATTTTATCTAACACGTTTAATGTTTTGTTTATATTTTGGAGTATAGTAGCTACCATTGGATTCTGTAAATCATGTTCAGTCATATCCAGATCTATCTTAGTTTTTGTGAACTTCACTTGATCTCCAGTATCAGTAGATTTGAACGAAATCGTTGTTTCAGTAATATTTTCATTTACTAGATTTCCAATGTTGCTGGCTATCAAAATATATTTTCGCCGTTGAATAAACCAGCGGTAACAGCATTATGACAATTTTTGGTATTACACATACGTCTGTATGTCGTCTCGAACAAACCACTACGTTGATAATGAAGTGATCCTTTAGTTTCTATAACATTTTACATAGTCTCCATCGACAAGCAACGGCTGTGTACAAATACCACAACATTTATAAGCCACTTTATGATTTATTTCTTATTTCAATGTATGATGTTTTAAATAAATAAATAATCTTGTCACCATAAGAAGCATACAATTGTAAACTTAGGCACAAGCATTCACGATGCCAAAGTAACCAAACTTTTCGTTAGCCCTTAAGCGTTTAGGATTCCTTCTTTATAATTTGTTCAAAATATTTCCTTTTTATTTTAAGCTGTATGGGAGTAGTATGTGAAGGTCAAGATCTAATGTTAATCAAGATGGGGAACAGTCAATTTACTTACGGATTTCAAGTGCAGGATATGATTAGTATAGTTTATAAAATAAAGAAACTCTGATTACTTTGATAGTCGTTAAAACGTTTTAATCCGTGGCCATCACCATAGCATGCCCCTATATGCTAACAGGAGACAAATACGAACCAAAATAGTCGTCTTTTTACGTTTATAATGAGGAGACGTCGTTGGATTCAGTCTTTTAATTGAACAATGTATGTATGTTTGAATCTCGCACAAAGCTACACGAGGGCTACCTGCGTTAGCCATCCTTAATTTTGCAGTGAAAGACTAGAGGGAAGGCAACTAGTCATCATCACCCACCGCCAACTCTTGGGTTACTCTTCTACCAACGAATAGTGGGATTGACTGTCACTTTATAATGCCCCCACGACTGAAAGGGCGAGCATGTTGGTGGGACGGGGATTCGAGCCCGCGACCCTCAGATTGCGAGTCGAGCGCCCTATATTCGCTATAACTACTAACTCAATAAACGACTGCACTTTAGTAACTGTCAATGTTACGTTTTGTTGTTGTTTGCGACTATAATAATATATTATAGTTCCGTTAGTGATAAGTGTAAACATTGATACAGCAACCTACTGTTACAGAAATAAAGTGAAAATTCAACGTGATCAGGGACTTACTGCAGGAAGAATATTAGGTGGGTGGGCAAAAAGAAAAATTAAAAAAAAAGCAGTGGCTCTTCTGGAGTGTCTATCTACCTTTATTTTACAGTATTTTATTATTAGGCTTATATTATTTTATTACAAAGAATTAATTAAAAGAAGTTTGAACTAGTTTTTGAAAAAAAAAAACATTCCTCTGAGATTCTTCTTGGTTCAATTGTTTTTGTTTTTTCTGGGGGTGGGATATAAAATAATTACATTAATTTCTTTATATTTAACGTGTAAACACACACACACAAAGCATGATCCAGAAGGTGAGATTATCATTACAATGTTTGCCATTTTCTTTATATGTATTATAGCAAAACCACATTGAGCTGTCTGCTACGTCCACCGTGGGGAATCGAGCGCCTGAGTTTTACATTGTAAGTATGTAGATGTACTGCTGTCCCACTGGAAATATGCCTGCCAGCTGTTACCAATGGCATTATACCTAACGTTATTGTCACATCATTGCTTCATTTACCGTTTGAACTTAATATTTTGAAGTGATCACAGGAAATATAATTGCTATAGTGCATGTGTTTGTCACATTATGTGGTGTCAGTGGAAGGTCTGATTGAGATTTTTTTCCAGAGCTGTAAAATTTGGAGACACAGTTGATGTAGTTTTTTTTTTAATCTCATAATTTCTTTGCATAGTTTTATAATAATTACTTTCGTGATTTTAAAGTTATGTTTCATTCTTACATTAGAAGTTATTGAAAAGTTCATAAAAGAGGCTTTACATACCCACTTATCATTCTCGTAGTTTCGGCTTAAATGTCAGATCTTTGTAATAAGTAATAAAATGATTTAAAGTGTAAATACAAATTGTTTGTTTGTTTGGAATTAAGCACAAAGCTACACAATGGGCTATCTGTGCTCTGCCCACCACGGGTATCGAAAACCGGTTTTTATCGTTGTAAGTCCGCAGACATACCGTTGTGCCACTGGAGGCGTAAGTACAAATAATAGAGAAATTTCAAAACTCTTAGTTGGGCAAGTTAATTTGCATGCATTATAGTATTACTAGCAGAGACCCGCAATACATATATGGTCAAAGTAGTGTCTATATTGCAACAGTATTTCTTTAAATACAAGACTTCTATGATGATACAAAAGAATTCTAATCGCATTCACCGAAATCCAGAAGTCCACTTGTTTTAGGCCTAAGATAAGTAAATCCTTTATTAAGTACGCCCTCTTCGATAAAGAGAGAAATTAACATTGTAACTACGTTTTTTGCTTTAGTTTAGTTAGGGCTAAACTTTTTCGTGGAGTGGCCAAGCCTACTATATGATGCTGAAATGTGGACAATATCTAAAGCAATTGTTAAAAGATTGAGGCATTTGAAATGTTGATCTATAGAATAGTACTGAAAATATCTTGGACAGAACAATAAGAAAGTATTAGAAATGATGAAAAGTAAAAGAACACTATTATCAAGAAAAGAAAATGTGAGTACTCTGGACACAAAGTTAGAAGAAATGGAATACAAAGACTGTTGCTAGAAGGAAAAATGAATGGGAAAAGAGGAAGAGGCAAACCAAGAAATGTGTGGATGGATAACATCAAAGATTGGATGGGAACATCATATAGTAACTGTTTAAGAATGGTGGAAATAAGAGAACAATGTTGTTTCATGACAGTCAACCTGCTTCGAGCAAATAACACTTACTGGTTTTCCCACTCTGTCTATCTAAAGCTTTGTGTTTGAATTGAGTTTCAACATTCGTCATTATACCTTTAATTTAGTTAACTTTAGAATACTACTTTTATGAGTATTTTACAATAAAATAACATATTATGATTGGAGATTCTGGTTCTATTTGTTTTGCCAGTGAGGAAGCCAGTAGTGTAAGGATTTTATTCTCCATGTATAGTCAAGACGACTTAGTCTGCTATATGGTCATTAGCCCGATCAAATGATATGTCCACTTCTATCCCTATTTTGTTTTTTTTGTTTTTTTCAAGTTCAGTAGCCAGCCCTACATAGGCTTTTATATAACGATATTTTTTTCCTAATACTTGTTTGTTTCCCTTTTTTTATAAGATGATGTACGTGGGTTACTAGGTTATAAAGTGTATTCTAAAGCTTTATAAATTTTGCACAGAATAATAATAAAAAGGTAGTTAACGGCCGTGAAGACTGTTTCACTCTGTCAAGTGATGATAAAATATAGTTACTGTTAGAACTAGGTAGGCGCTAGGCCTGTTGAAGAAAGATGAGGAAGAACGAAGATAAGAAATATTGGTTTTGGCTATTCGCTGGTTGTCGACTTTGGGACGCTCTGTATTGTTGAAAAGTAGCATATACACCGGAGATATAACGACTATACCAGGTAACTCTTCATATCTAGCTTCTGGTGACTTCTAGAGAATAAAATTCAGATGACTTTTGTATTGCGAGCATTCGTGCCAAATGTCCGGCTGTCCTCCCCTCGAGATGGATTCCTGTATGTGGTGAGGGGGATTTCCCAGGGAAGGTTCTCTATCTTCAGTTTCCCTCCTCTGTGATCCAAACATCCAACCACGTGTTTGCTGTGGTATCCCGTGGAAGGAAGGAGAGGATTATGGTAGTTGAGGAATGTCATTGGTGGGTCTGTTTGTGTAGGTGGAACTTTAACACATCTATTTGGCCTTGAATTTCTGTAGACGGGTGACCTTGCAGTAGCTCCCCCTGGGTCTGTCGGCTAGTTCTGTTGGGCTAGGGTCAACTAATTGCCGGTATTGGATGTTCTAAACAGGTGTTGTAGACATGTGTCTAATGCTGATGTTTGGGTATAGTGCCCACGAAACCCTGGTGTAGCTATACTGTTAATGTTTGGCATTGTAGTGCATCCCCTCGTATGGGTCCATGGTTGATGGGGTCAGTGAGCACTGAATTTTCTCAATTTTTCTGAATCTTGCACCCAGTGACACACACACACACAAATACAAATAAAAAAACTCATTGATAGGAATAGTTTTTTTCGTGTTAAATAAATTGTGTCGATTCACAAGTTTTGATATGGTGTCTAGCATCGTTTGAAATCAGTAAGAACCTTTTGGGGCCCATTGTGTATTGACTCTCATTAAGCTTTGTACGCGTTCCTTTACCTTTAAAAACAAACTCCGGAAGAGGCATTGGATTTTTCTCGTCTGTGGATACTAGCGTAAAAACGATAATTTTCTCGCGTGATAACATATAATTTTCTTTAACGAAAGTAGATTTGTTACTAATAGAAAGGGTTTTTTGTGATATATTTTCATTCCGATTATCATATGAGGCTCTTTTCCAAATTTTCAGCGAAACCAGTATCGTACTCGCCAAACATTTTGACAGAACTCGATGATACGAATCTTTCTTTCTGTGTTGAGGAGAGCAAACCTTTTGTTTGGTTTGCTTAAACTTACGTGATACTCTTTCATCCAATCACGGATTCATTTATTTGAAAATTGAAGCCTCTCATTCACTGGCACCTACTTCTCCTGACAACTTAACCATTTGCTATACAATTCATTCCCTCTAGTCTTACACTGCTAAATTAGGGATGGCTAGCGCAGATAGCCCTCGTGTAGCTTTGCGCGAAATCCATAACAAACAAACTAGATTTAATATTTTTATTGTATTTGTTTTTCAAGGGTATAGATATTTTTGAGTTCATCTGGAAATTACTTCCAATCTGATGCTATTTTTGTAAAGGAAACGAGATGCATTTTGTTAATATAATTTCTCATATAACTTGTATATTTTTAACTTGATCTAAAAGTTAAGTCTAAATTTTAAACTTAACTAAAACACAATCCATAGTTTATACATGCTTTCTTTTTTTTTCTATGTTGTTGTGATTTATATAAGATGAACGAATAAATAATAACTTAAAGTTTTAACTTAAAAATAACATTTTATGCTTACAATTTCGATCACTCGCAAGCTTTCTTAATACATGGCGAAATCTGTAACAAACAAATAAACAAACAATAGGTTATATCATATAATATACAGTATAATATATGTTTCTTAGGTTTCCAAAGCACACTTTCATGAGACAGCGATAGATACAGGCTAAGACAATTGATGGGAAACTAAGAAGCCATGGAATCCATCACCATATAATGTAGTGTGCTCGGAACATTTTGTCGAGAATGACTTCTATAAGTCCCGCCATGGAAATCTGAATAAACGTCTAAAAAAATACAGCTATCCCATTTATCTTTGCATGGAAGAGAAATCAAGAGGTATGTATTGTTTTAGATCTGGGGACTAACAAGCTTAAGAATCCTATTAAAATATGTGAATGAAATAAGTACATTTATTTTATTGTGATAGTTTACAAATATGGAAGCCTACAGAAAAACTAAACCTTACCTATTGAGAGCAATTTCATGCTGAAAATGTCATTGTTTTAGACATTTATTTTAAAAATTTAAAATAATAGTAAAGCTTTTACTCTAAACCTTTATTAACCTTTGTCTAACATTATAGACACTTATATATAAATGTGCTTCTGATGATACGTAAGTTTGTAAATGTAATCGTTTCTTACAGACTCCAAGAAGGGCTTCACTGATAAGCTTAAGGGCTGCAGAAACTCGATCATCTCCATCCCAGCAGCCTAATCCTGAAGTTCCTCTTGCAACTTTAGTTAACATTGAACATTCTTATAACTGCGATTTTCATTCCTTAAAGATAAAGTATAACGAGGTGAAGACAAAGCTGGAGGCCACCAAACAGGAATTACACAACACAGAGCGGAGGAAGAAGCGTGCCAGGCTCTCTGTAGAGGCTTTTTTGGCAGAGGTGAAATAGATTCGGGCCTTGTCTGATGAGGCACACAGGATGCTTGACTCATATAAAGGTATAATAATATAATGTCATACAAATTAAATAATTTTCAAAAGAAGAGCTATTGAGCCAGTAATATTGATAGAGCTCAATGTTGGAACTGAATTAAAATACAATGACAATTAATTCATATATTGTTCCAATAGTTATTCATAAATACGTGGTGTTTGAAACAGTACACAAATGAATGGATGCAGTTTAATGTAAACACAAATTTCAAAAATAGTGACAGAAGGGCTTGCGGTTTACCACTTCAGGCAGTCTACATTGATTGCTCGGCTGCTTAGTTTGAAGGGTGGTCTGATCTGGGTAGTGACTAGGTGGTATGAAGCACATTCCACTTCTTAATGATGGACTTCACCGTAATCAAAAGTATAATCAGCGACTTTGAAATTTTCTTGTAACCTTCTCCTGATCCGTGCTTCTCTACCACTTTGTCCCTCACTTGTTTTGAAATCTCCTTGTCCTTCAGGGTTGGTTTGTTGTATCACTAGGTGAGTTATGGCTTGTTTAGATGCATTTACTCTGAAGTCAAGTTAAAATACTTTGATTACACACAGACAGAGATCATTACATTATTTTATTACCTTTCAAAGTAATCATTTGCACCTAAATTGATTTAGGGTTACCATAACAAAGGGGTTGAATTCTTATGCAATGAAAAATATTCAAATTTTCTTTGAAAATCTAACTTACTTATATAATATCAACGTTTTTTAGCTTTTTCACTTTGGAGTAAATTGTGTAGATTTTAATATTAAAATCCCATTTGAAAGTTTCATGATTGCAAGCTCAGACAGCAACAAAATGTGGAACTTTGAAAGGGGGGATGAATATTTTTTCAAGGCACTGTATGTGTTTGTTGGCCTGTAGAATCTGTTCGTCATTTTATCTTGAAATTCAGAGGTTATGATTGAGTCATTTGAGATAAACTCTATTATATCCACATTTTGATATATTTAGGCCTTTCTTCTTGTGAGAGAGTACATAGTATCCTAGTTGCAATAGATATTTACATTTATAACAGAGATGTACATAGCAACAAATAGTCAGACTCCTCTACCGAGAGTTATTGATACTTAACTAGAATACTGAGTAAATGTGTGAACTTACTAAGCTTTAATTAAAACGCCCGTCTTCAGCATTTTATGGCAATTAATTCAGCCACAATATTATCCATGTTCAATTTTCCCTCTCGTGCTTGTTCTGTGCTCAACAAAGCTAGCCCTGATTTTAATTAGCGTTTGTTTGGGAAACAATCTCTCAGCAGTGACTACAGTGACAGAAATGGTTTAAAAGAAAAACAGTTTCCCTTGCATTCTCATATTTATTATAATAGGTTGTCAGTGTTTCAGCAGCACTTTGAATCTGTTTTGTGGCTTTCGTGAGATCAAACTATTCTCGCTGTAATTCACAGGTTCTAAATTTTGCACTGAAGGACTATAAGAAAAACAAATTAGAAACTTTCAAGCTTTATTTAAGCCACGTCGCTTCAGGTACTTCATCACTTGTTCCTCACAGAAAAATGATTCTAGACGGCTTTCGGTATGTGTATGTAACAAAATGCAAGACACACAGAGAATTGTAATAAGCTGACCATCGTGTTGGAAGAAACCTTTTGATGTGCACCTCTGACTTACAACCACAACTTCGGTGCCCTGATTTTGTACTTTTTCAAGTGCTGCCTGCTCCTCACATTTTGAGAAGTTTATTTTGTGTATTGCCTTTCTCTTTTGTGCTGCACAATACCAAACATTTGAATGCCTAATTCGAGTTTTGAGAAAACCTGCCATCACGAACGTGTGTATTGTATATAAGCACAGACCAAAATATACAGATTTTAAATTCCATCCCACGTTTTACAGTTTATTACCTTGTGTTTCAAGTTTGCAAACTGATAATTTATTATCATACTAGGTATCTGTTATTGTCGCGTATCTGCTTGTTTGTTAATTTCCGGTAGAAATTCTTTCCGTGAAACTTCAACGATACAAGTCCTTTCTTGATTAAACCAATTTATTCTTCCTCGATACAAAATTTTAGCCTACAGTAATTTCACAATCAGTACGTTTCTCTTCACTTTAAACTTAACTACTTTTATAATACACGCTATAAATCACAGCGATTCACAATCTCGATAACAAAACACACACTAGCTCGAAACAGAATTGTAAATTACCTGGAACTCTCTTCACTCAATCCCACAGGCTTTTTCTGCCAGGCATATATACTAACGAAGGGGGAGTCTCGAATACACTCGAGCCTCCCCGATCATTCATGATCATTCGAGAAATTCATCACGTGTTACCACAGTCACGTGACTTCCGCTGTCATAACATTATCATGTATAAAGGTCCCCAAAACCCAAATATGCTTAAAGATGTATTGTGTATTGTATATAAGCACAGACTAAAATATACAGACTTTAAATTCCATCCCACGTTTTACAGTTTATTACTTTCTGTTTCAAGTTTGCAAACTGATAATTTATGACCATACTAGGTATATGTTATCATGTATAAAAATTCCCAAAACCCAAGGGTAAAGATTAGTCGGTTGACAAGTAGCTATTTTCTCTCCATACCTGGCCAGAAGCACAATCATGAAAAGACGTGTTGTAAAGAAGCATGGCATATCAC